CTTGCCGCTTTAATGCTGTTGACATTTTTTTGTTGAAAACATATTTTTGTTGAAAATTACCAATTAAAACAAAATCATTGGGAAAAAGTTTAAATCCAAATTTGTGAATTGCAAAAACTAGGTCAAAGGTCAGTTTGCCAGTATATGTCTTCCTATTCAAGTTCAGTAGTAACTATGCACATATCTCTACCAGTTTTGGAGATATATGGGAATAAAATATTGCAAAGTTCAGTAAAAAGTATGTCAAAAGTCAATGTCAAGTACATATTTAGATTGACAGTATATATCTTCATATTCAAATTCAATAGTAACAATGGGTGCATCTCTGCCAGTTTTGCAGATATGAGATATAAAGTTTCAAAGTTCGTTTCATGGTGAGTTGGTAGTTCAAATGTCAATTTCAAGGTCACAGTAAGATTGCCAGTATATGACCACCTATTCAAGTTCAATAGTAACTATAGGCATATCTTTGTCAGTTTTGGAGATAAAAAAAGACGGAAACCTTGCAGAGTTCAGTTCATGGTGAAAAGTAGGTCAAAGGTCAATTTCAAGGTCACAATTAGGTTGCCAGTATATATCTTCCTCTTCAACTTCAATAGTAACTATGGGCCTATCTCCGCCAATTTGGAGATAGAAGGGACTAAAATGGGTGTAGCTTTGTAATTTTGGTGTTACAGTAATTTACCATGAATTTCGTAGAGGAGAAATTAACTGAAATAACGAAATATCGTTTTGGTCGAAATTCATGAAATGAGAGGTCCTCAGAAATTCCAGATGTTCGAATTTCATGAACTTTTGTCATTTTTGACAGGAAGTCTGTCCCTCGATTAGCCGTATGTTATCTTTTCCTGACATTCGAAATTTCATTGCATTTTACCGTATTTACATTTTATTTTCACCACCACATTGTACTTTTTGATAATGTGCAACTTGTAAACCGTACGGAAAACATAAAAACAGACACCACCTCAACTGTTGCGTTTGACAAGCTCTATAAAATGCAACAAACCAGAGGTCTCTAGCATTTACGGTTCCAGAATTAGAGAGAGTTTTCAGTTTTGGCATTTAAAGGCCGCTTCTCCCGTGAAAATGCACCAAATGACCCCAAACTCACGAAGATGAAGATGTCCCTAAGAGTAATTCCTGCCCATAATATTATAGTTTAGGTCTGTGTAGTTTCTGTATATCGGCACAAATGATTTTTTTGCAAAAATTCTAATTTTTAGAAAATTTTGGCCCATTTGACCTTAAAATTAAGATCAAAGGTCAAATCTAAGGACATAATTGAATTCTCCACATACGATTTTCAGTCAGCCATCTCTAGAAATGGGTCCCCTAATTCTTTTGGTCTGGTAGATATTTAGCATTAAATTTTGCAAATTTTGGACAAGGATGCATTGCAACGAGCGCCACACCTAGACCAGAGCACCGACAAAGCCCAAAATTCAGTCGAGTTAAGATTACATGTGACCTACATACAAGTGATGGATAAACAGGCTGTTGTAGTTTAGGAGGATAAACGGTTACGGTAACGTGGCACGGACGATACCGGTCGGGACTTAAACCATGTGTACCGCCAATGCCGCGCTGGTGGTACAATAACGATATGGTGTCACCCACTAGGCTCTTTTTCTATTCAAGTTATAGGAAAATGGCGATCTTACCTAGTCTTCCATATTGGTCCGACTTCGAGGAATTTTCTGCAAGGTAAATGCCTTTTCCAAAAGCTGCAGAATCGCTTGCAACACTAATATCCAGCCCTCGCGCACATATTTTATCCACAACATCTGTACTCGTCCCGTGAAAAAAATAGTGTTCATTCAGTTCTTTTCTAAGTGGATTATTTAAGGTTTCTGATAGCTGGCACGTATAGGGTTTCATCCATGACTCTATTTTGATGGGATTTTGTGCAAATTTATCGGATATATCTCCTAATTTGCGAAAATATTGGGTCCACAGTCGAGGGTTATCGACACGCTGTATCTTCGTTATCTCAAAATCAGTGTGAGATAGATCTTTATTGTCTCTTCCTTGGATACTCATTTTTTCTTTAGACCAAGACCCTTCCATCATTTGAGCGACCGCGTCCCTTATATGCCTTTCGACATCAACTGTCCTGAAACTTCTTTCCTCCCCTTCAACATGAGAAAAGGAAATTTAATTTTCTTTACAAATATCTTGTGCATGAATGATTTGAATCTTTCTTTTCAAAAAATGTTGCGTACTCAATTTAAACGCAGTGAAAAAATAGCAATAATTTATGTAATAAAGGGCACAGGATATGAAAGCTAAATGTTACTTATGTTTATATGTAAGTAGGTAATGTCTACAGAGAATAGAATAGCTTAAGATGATAAAATTGTAGTTTTTTACCTAGTTTTCTGGCCATACGGAAGATTCTGCAGATATCATAGATTAGACCTATAAGGCAGGAGAACAGCAGCGGTAACATGGCATACACCTTGATATACAACGAACTGACGTCACCCGGGTTGTCAAGGAAGTAAACCAGTATAACTGACGACCAACCAAAACACCAAACGTCTGTGAACTCGGGGATAACTTTCAACAGTCTTCCTAAAATAAAGAATCCATGGGTAAATAATAATGCATTTTAATCCAATACTTCATATAAAGCCCATTTCACTCTTCAGCACTTCAACTGGAGGCTGTTGTAGAAATAATAATTATCTTACTTTAAAGTTATCAGTATACTTTGACAACTTACCATTGTTGGCGACATACAGGAACAGTACCATCGCATAAAGGAAAAAGGCGCCGAATACAAAAGCGAAACCAACAGCCAATGGAAGCTCCACGTTTCTAGCCTGCACTATGATTGTGTAGAAGGCAACGCTTATCTGGTTGACAACACGGTTGTCGTATGGGGAACTTGATATCATCAAAACTGCTCCAACAAGCCACAATAAACTAAAGATGACGTATAGCAAACAGCAAATCACCAAAAACTTTCTGTCTTTACACGGTTTTGATTCACTGCACTTGCAACTTGCGCAGCTACATATGAAAATCATAATTGGTGCAGCAATCAGAATGAGGATTGTATGAGGTGTGAAAAGAATAGTAAAGCCAAAATCTGAATAGCCCCAACTGTCCCATATTCCGTCCAGCCACAGTGTGCCAAAAATCTTTGCCACTGATCCCGCGGGAAATCCAGCAAGAACTGTATACGAAAGATGAACGGGTCTAACATCTTGTAATACAGCATCTTTGTCCAACTTTTTCATATACAACACACATACGTGAATGGCTTGTGATACGTCATACCAAAGGAGCGGAATTAATGCATATCTTGCAGGAATCGTCAGCATTAACCCCAAACATAAAGTACAAACGCCTGTCCATTTGAGTATATCAACCAAAAGAGGGCGCTCTATCTCCACGAGTATCTTTACAGATAACGCGCGCAAGTCTTTATCTTCTTCTATTTCCACCGGTGTTCTGCTGGTCATGGAGTTCTCCCACGTCATATCAAGATTCACTCCACTATGTAGAGGAAAAAGTATTGTCAATTAAGTCCCATTGAAGAAATTCACAATAAAAATTTAGAGCATTTAACTAGTAGCCTATTTGCGATGGTGGAAAATGTAAATGTAGTGCACCATGTTTTATAAATGAACAATATCCAAATGCGTTAATGATTATCTTTACAGACAACACGTACTTGTTTCCATCTTCTATTTCCACTGATGTTCTGCTGGTAATGGAGTTCTCCTTCGTCGAACCACTGTGTAACAGAAGAATTACCAATTGCATCCGATTAAAGAAATTCACAATAGAATGAGAGCATTTAACTAGTATTTTAGTGATAAATATAAATGTGGTGCGCAATGTTTTGTATTTAATAGCACATTTTGTGAATGGCTGATCATAAGGAAATAGTATTCAATATCCGACTTCTTTTTCTATCTACTTTAAAAACAGGAACTAGATATGATTACTTACTTTTTTCTTTTCCTGTACGTTTGTAGGCAGACACATGCGAGTAGAACAAGCATTAGAGATGCCGATACTGAAAAGGCAAAAATTGTTCAAGGGCATTTTCAATACAAATTTAGAACACAAATCTGTTTTCAAACAAAGATTTCTAATGTTGTAAAATGGGCTGAAGTTTGTTTTAATTAAGATAAAAGTACAAGTGATATTAGGAAAATATATTAAAGGGATAATAACTCTCCGTATGAGATCTATATTTCACAATAAAAACATTGTAAACAACTCAAAGAAATATTATTTATCCTGTTTTAGCACAAAAAACGGCAGTTATAGTTATTATTCTTATATCTGAGCTTGTCATCGGACATCACCGTGACCTCCATAGATGGCTATACTCTGTAATAATCTGTAGAGAGATTATTTTAAAAAAATTTTAGAAAAAAAACAGGGACTAACTTTAAATGTAGAACTGGGTCCATTAACCATTGGAAAGTATGGGAAAATTGTTGTTTGCTCCAGGAAAATTCATTTTTTGGTCAAAACGAACAGTTATTATCCCTTTAATATATTTTCTAGGGTGAGATGACAAGAAACCTCGGTCACGTTCCAAAATGAAAACAAAAACTTTAAATGCGGATGGGTCAAGGTCGAGGTAACACCTGACATGCAAAAGAAAAGAGTCTCTCACATTGGTGTCTAATATTGTGAGAAATGTAGATGCCTGAGATCTAAGGCCTTGCAGACATGTTCATGAATGTTTCTGGAAAGTAGTGGTAGGCATCATTGGTATAGATCATGAAAGGCAAGTGACATTTTAAAAAACTTTAAATCTGGAGGCTTGGACTTATGCAAGTATATGCATGAAAATAGGTGGTTGAGCAGTTCTCTATTGTTGCTATATAAAAGAGTGCTACTCAGCAATAGTCATTGTCAAAGACATAATTGGCCCCCTGAAGCTGTAACAGTCATATAGGTAATGGGCCTTTCTATACACTGTACACTAGTGTGACATCTCACTAGCTCCTACTGATTACAAAGCTATCATGGCCCAGAAACCTACCAAGGCTGATGACAGGACCATGTCCAGGTTTCTCACAAGCAACAACACAAAGAGCAAAACACAAACAATAACTTCAGCACCTAAAAGACCTCATTCGGAGGTGGCAAACTCCAGTGCAGACGAATTACAAATGCTCATGCATGAGCTGTCTGAAATAAAAAATGAGATAAAAGATACTATTAGAAAAGAGGATTTGGAAATTACAGTAACAAGGGTGGTTGAAAGACTTCTTAATAACATGGCATCAGAAATGGATGCAAAATTCATGCAGAAATTCGACTGTCTAAAAATGGAATCCGAGACCCGTGCTGCAAAACTGCAAGACCAGGTGGATAGTCTTCAGACGGAAAATGAGCAGTTGAAAGAAGTCATGAGAAAGAAAGACCAAGAAATGAAAAAAATGAATGAACTGCTAAAACAAAATGATTACTACAGTAAAGAAACCATGCGCTCTTGCAATCATAATGAACAGTACTCAAGGAAAACTAATATAAGGGCCTTGAACATAATAGAAAAAAAGGAGGAAAACCTGAGAGAAATCTTGATATGCTGCAAAAAGAAGCCAAACTGAATATTGAGCCTACTGATATCCAGGCAATACATCGCATACCCGGTAAACAAGGATCCCCAAGACCAGTGATCATAAAACTTAGAAACACAGATATCAAGAGAACAATCATGCGGAAAAAGAGAGAACTGAAATCTGGTGCACGTCTGTATGATGACATAACATTAAAAAACTTAACTTTCTTGAACAAACTAAAACAACATGAGCACGTTGAAAGTGCGTGGTTCTTTAACTGCAATGTATACTGCCAGTTAAAAAATGGAAACAGAATAAAAGTAGACATATGTGATAACTTGGAGGAGAAACTGAAACAAAAGAAAAGGTCCAATTAGGAGAAAAAAATTTTGTTTATCTAACATGTAAAGCCTAGAGTGCCTAGATATAATGCAATGTAATTGCTTGGTTATCTTTATCACTTTATGTTTATAAACTTTTTTCTTCCATATTTTCTAGGTACACACGTAGATCCCAATTGTTACTACTTCTCATGCTTTACGGTTAATAGAGAAATAATCATAAGGTTCTTCTTATCTTCCAATAAACCTTGTTTTTGGGAAGGAGAATAACCCACATAATGCTTTCACTGGTATGTACAGCATATCCTTTACATAGACCAATAAAGATAAGGTGAGTGCTGATCCCTAACATTCAAATATTAATGTTGTAAAAATATTTTTTGAATTGGTGCTCATCCTCAACATTATGCAAAATAGTATCAATGTTATAATTTGATATTCTGTGGGATCATTAGGTACCTCGATTTTCAGAATATGCTGCAAGTATTGATACTCGAAATGTGTAGGATGATTGTATTTATGTTATCNTAATAATTATTATTCATAAAGAGAAAGGTTTATGCCAAGTAGTAACATTTTATTATTAGTTCCAATATAACACAGTTTCTGCAAGATAACTGTCTTTTTTTCCACCAAGAGTTGGAATTTTAAGTCAATGTTTAAATTGATTACTAGTATGACGACATCAGTGAGGGTTTATTGCATACTGTGTAAAAGCCCTGTACCTCATTGCTTTTAGTTTATACCATTATGCTGATTGTATTGAATTCATTTTCACAATCAGTTTCTAGGTTGGTAAAAATCTATGCCTCAATACCATTGTGCTGGGTGTGCTGGTTTTTCTTCTCTAACACAATCCGATTTAAATTTAGCACCAGTGCTCTTGTCTTCTCTAACACAATCGATTCCAGGCTGGTTGAAAACTGTGCCATCAATGATGCTAAATGCCATTGTGCTGGATGTGCTCATTGTCTTCTCTAACACAATCCATTCCAGGCAACCCAGGAATTGTGGGCTACTATGAGGAGTTTATGGACAAACTTTACACCCTGAGTAACAAGAGACTGCCTGTGTGGGCTGTGTCACATGCAGGGCACGTAAAGATTCCTAAAGAATTGGAGATTCAGGGTAACCATGCTCGTGTTATTTATAAATTTGCAAAAAAATTGTATTGAAGTTACTACTTTCTCAAATTCCATGGGTTAAAGTTTCAAGATTTTGCCTGATTTCAGGTTCTTCATTCTTCAGTTTGATCTTTTTTATGTATGGACTTTACACGATGAGAAATCTCAAGCTACGTTTTCCAGATTTTCAGTTTTAAAAAACCTTCACCCATGAAATTCTATTGAGATGTATGATTACATCTGTTCATATAAAATGTTGTTATGGATACACTCTTTACAAAGGACATGTTTATTGATGTACAGAATCTGATTTGGTTTTTATTTTCAATTTTCCCATCATATCTTTTAAAATAATTGCAAGAATTTTATTTATATCACCCAATTTTAAGTTATAAGATTAAAATGTTTATCGTATTTATTTTTCTCAATTATTGAATATTTATTATTTGTAAAATATGATGTTCTTTTTGATTTCAGCCTCCAGTCATGATCCATTCAACCTTGAGGGTCAAATTCAACACAAGATGGACTTTCTCAGGAACCACGTACCCAAAGATGTAAACATAATTTTGATTGGTCATTCCATAGGCTGTTACATCATTCTCCAGCTCATGAATAGACTGCCCGATTTAAACATACATCGCGCCATCATGCTATTCCCAACAATAGAGCGAATGGCTCTGTCACCTCAGGGACGTATTGCAACACCATTCCTACGCTATTTTCGCTGGATAGCTCGCGGGGCTGCTTATTTCCTGTCCTTCCTTCCCCAAAACCTTCAACGAAAGCTGATAATTTGGCACCTAGCAGATGACAACCTTCCAGAATGTGCAATCGAATCTAGTTTGAATTTAGTGGACCATTTTTGTCTTGGGAACGTAATGTACATGGCCAATACCGAAATGAACGAGGTCACTGACCTACATGTTGATATCATCCGTGCTCACCTGAAGAAACTCACCTTCTATATGGGATTGACGGATGCATGGTGCCCTGTGGAGTACTACGAGGGAATGAAAGAGAGGTTTCCAGATGGAGACATTAAATTGTGCCAAGTTGGCTATGAGCATGCCTTTGTTCTCGCAGCTAGTGAGCCAGTCGCTCAGTTAACATGGAGTTGGTTGGAAAAGGATGTTTCAGAGAAGATAAATGCAGATTAACAGAGCTATTCTTTAATACCATTGTGGTGGATGTGTTCATTGTCTTCTCTGACACAATCCATTCCAGGCATCCTGGGGCTATTATGAGGATTTTTTAACACATTGATGCAAATTTACAGAGATTTCTACATTGATTAAAGAAGTATTTTGCAACACGGTGACTTGGCTATCCAGTAATGCATCAAATTCTGTAACAGCAGAATTAGAATAAATTTATTTTCAGTGTTCACATTAACAATGCACTAAAATAGCATGAATTCATCATTTACAGAAAAAGAAATGTTTTTTTAAATACTTTTAATATTTTTTCTTTTTTTGGGAATTTTAGCCAAATGATTTTCTTCAAGAAAAACAACATTTGCTTCCAAGGTATTCATTTATACTGGAGATACCAGTACAGTACATTGTATTTCTCTGCCAATGAACTACTAAAATGTGTTCGTCAGTGTATCTTAAAGATTTCCAGCCCTTAGCAAAATTAAAAGTTTGCCAAACTATTGCAGCAAATTTGGTGCAAACTAAAGCGGTTTTCAAGAAAAATTGGCATTGCTGCTAATTTGCAGCAAGTTTGCAAGAAAAAAGAATATATTGAGTTTGCAGCAGGCTTGCAAGAAAGTATGTATGTTCTAGCAAACCTGTGGCAAATTAGCAGCTAATTTTCCAGAACATCCAAGTTTGCAGTAACTTTGCAAGATATTTGCAAATTTGCAGCATATTTGAGAGAGAGTTTGCGGCAGGGCTGACATTTTGCTAAGAGATTACAGACTATCGATAAACTATACATCTTGATTTAAGAAGGGTCTTAGCGAGCAAAGGTAACTCTGATGTCATAATCTGAGTGATAATACTAAAGGTACTTAAGTCACCTCTCTCTCAAAATTCACAATTATATACGTGAATAAATGAAATCTAAAAGTTTGGACTTAATTACTGGTGAAGACTACAGTGCTCAAAGATAGGATCTTTCTGTTTTCATATATACCATATTTCATATATGTCAAAGTAAAGAGCACTGTGCACTTAAATACATCTATTTACATCATAATTTCTCGATCTAGGAATCATTTTTTTTTTTTTTTTTACTTTATCATAATTCATACTTTGTAATGGTGGGATAACGTTTAAAATGTTGTACGAACATATATGATGGGAAACAAATTGGCTCAACCTTTCCAATAAAAGCTAAACATTTCAAGTCTGCAAAACAAAACAGTTGAGGAACCTGTTTCACAAATGAATAAAAATCTAATCTACTTATACATTCATTGAAGACTTATTTGCGCTAAATTCATAACAAGCAAATCTTTTAAACCAGTATTATCATTTAATTTATTTCTATTATTATTAATATTATTAATTTATTTATTATTTTTTTTTTATTATTTATTTCTTTCTTTATTATTAGTATTATTATTATTATTTTTTTTTTTTTTTGAAAACTGCAGAAGTATTAAGAATTCAAGCAGACCAAACCTAAAGCAAGACTTTCAGGACTACACGTGCACTTTGCATTGCATGGGAATTTGTTCCGTATTAAAAATATTCATATAATATCGTATTGTCATTTCTGCAAACGGTAACTCATCAAATCATTGTCACGTGACCTAACACTCAAACCAGGACCACAATCACGTGGTATCCAAGCTGGCATTGAAACACAGCGCCACCTTAAGGAACAGCCATTTCCATTTTAACACAGTCGTTGACGTCTTTACACTGGTAATACGTCACGTTTTCACCACTTGGGCGGATCTCCCAGAAATTAAACGCGTCGCTTACCGATCTGGTGTGGTTCACCGTTGACATATTGACGCACAACGACCTCTCAAGTTGCAAGTTGGGGTCATGAAACGCGCGGTTTGTACACAGAACATGCGTTTCTCGCTGTCGTCTTCCTCGGGTCTTGGGATCCACGAGGTGACGTTCTGGTCTTCAGGAATTCGTTGAAAGTACACATCCAACTCTTGTTTGTACGGGTAAACATTACAGCCGCCCGTGCTGTTCTTCAGTACACAAACGTGGTTGTAGAATATCGCGGACTCTTGGGGATGATATTGAAGAAAAAAGGCAACGTTGCAATTTTCTATGCCAGAAGCGTTATTCCAGTTATAATTCGCTGACAGAGGTGAATCTGAGATGAAATTGGTTTGGTTGTCGAATATGGGACAAGGCATTGGGATTGAAAGGTTGCCCTGCGCAAGAACGCCGAGAGAAATTTTATTGAAATTGAAGACCATCGGGGCCTGAAAGGTGGTGGTGGCGTTTCCGTTGGAATGAAAAAAATGACAAGGGAATCTAATCATCCGACCTGCATCTCCGTCATAAAAGACAGGGGCGGCAAAAGCTAGCAAAAACAAACGAGAGAGCCTCGGTACTTCTCGACTAGTTCCGTTTATTTCCGGCACACTGCTCTGCAGGCGGGCGAATATTGTGACGTCCGTTGAGTTTTCATTGGCGGCCAATTTGGCAAGGCCTTGCAGAGCCGGGGGAGCGTTTTTTATTCGAATTTTTCCTATCTCTATGCCAAAAGATTCAAACAGGTCCACCACGTCTTGTGTGTGCAACATGGCGGCAATAAAAAGGATATCGAAGACGATGGAAGCAAGAGCTGGCAAACAAGTAAGAATGTCTATGACAAATCTGCACTTGTTCCGATTTTTGTCGTCTTCCGCGCAACATTTGCAACACCCATTTATAGCCTTGAAAATGTTAATGACCACAATGACAGAGGAGAGGACCAGACCAACGGCCCGTGCCACAAATGTAAACTTTCCCGTAAGTTTTTGAGTGAACGCACATGATTCTGTATTCGCTATACTCCATGTCAAATACGCAAGGGGCAATTCTCCGAGCGCCTGCTTCAAAAGTAGAACAGCGTCAAGAGCGACTTCTATCTTCTTCTCACGCGCTTCATCGGACTTGGAGACTTCGCCCCGCCTTATATGTATCGCCGTGGTTGTAAGTTTGCAGATGCAGAACGGAACAACAAGAGAGACCGTTAATGTCACGTCAATACAACAAACTAAGTACCAGGTGCGCAAGGCACTGTTTTCCTCTTCTCCCTCTATGTATGAAACATCAATTCTTAAGACCTCTTTATACGATATCCAGTCCATGACGGCATCAACGATTGCACATCCCATGAGGACGAGCGTTTGTATGAAAATAACATATGGTTAACATTTCTTGATGTTGTCACACCTGGAATGGATGTAATGGATGAATATTCAAAGAGAAATTAAAGTTGTTTACAAGGTTTGTACTTTTGCTTTAGAAAGTCAGATACATTCTGTTGCTAATAGCAGCTGCTTCTGAAATGACATGGGAAGAAAAAATATTGTATATATAGCATAACAAATAAATATAATACGATGAACTTTACCGATTGTTAAAGAATACCCAGTTTTTTAAATTATTTTTTGACGCTGATTGTTAAAGAATATAGAGTTTTTAATTTTATTATGACGTCACCATAGTCAAATTTCATTTTGGTTGTATACATCCTTCTGCCGTGATAGATCCGCTAACAGACGAAGCGATTGTAAATTTAGCAATCACTATCGTTTAAATTTTCTGCATGTTAGCAAAAGCTTCAAGGGATAACAACTGTTCGCATGAGATTTATATTTCACAACAACGTACATACTGTAGTAAGCAACTCTTAGAAATGTAATATATCCCGTTTTACCACAAAAACGGCAGTTACGTCAATTATTCTGAAATATGTGCCTGTCATTGGACCACGTGGCCTCTATAGATGGTTATACACTGTAAAAATCTGTTAAGAGATTATAACAAAAAAACAGGGACTTAATTTGAATGTAGAAATGGATTTATTGACGATTGGCAAGTATGGGAAAATTGTCGTTTACCCCAGAAAATTCATTTTAAGCCTATTCCTTTTAAAAATCGGCAAATTGTTGAGTTTTGCTCCCACCCCATACAACACCGATAAGATTCATCTCGGTGTAACATAAGAGAGAGTCTACCATGATAGAGAGTCCACCTCACATTCATTTTTGAAGGTAAATCTCGCCCTAGGTTTTGACTACCCTCTACCAGGGCGAGTGATAGATTTTTTACAGATATTCACAGTTATGTCTCTAGCGAGATAGATGGTCATTTAGGGCTCAACTCACCCTGTTGAGAAATCTCAAGGCTGATTACATGGCTGATAATTGTTTGCATAACTGCTCAGGTACTTCCACTTAGCAGGTCCAGTCTAAGTCTGCGTGACAGCAATCAAGACAGTTAATTACTCTGACTTCAATCACTTGCTCTCTGTGACAGATAAAAGAGCCTTAGACTGGTTGCGTAACGAGCAGTTATCACATCGTTGCGAAGCTCAGCTCATGCAGAGCAAGTACAAAGCCTTTGGCGCGCACGCGCAGAGATGATTGTTTCCACATGGGATTCCTCAACAGGGTGAGTTGAGCCCTAAATGGCCATGTATCTAGCTAGAGACATATATGTGAATATCTGTAAAAAAATCTATCACTCGCCCTGGTAGAGGGTAGATTTTGACCCACTTTGGTCAGGCTATATCCCTAACCATTATAACTATATGGAAGGCGGACTTTCTGCCTCAACTTTATTCATACTTAGTTAAGAATGTAACCTACCTGGAGGAAACAAAATTCATTTTAACGTTTATATTATTTTTTGTTTTCTCATTTGCTATTTGATTCATTTTAATGTTATATCTTACGTTTGTAGGAATTTTGTGTCCTGCAATAGATAATATTACAGTTAACAATATTTTGGTATTTTTTAGAATTTAGAATAAGACGACTCTGTGAAGAGAGCTACTGTAGTGCATGAAGTGTGAGCCACTCTAAATTGATTACACTTGTCACTCGTGCGTACTTTTAAACTATGAATGAGTGTAGTGCTATTGTAAACTTTTTACAGTACCTAGATTTTGATATCAAAGTTTTATTAGCCGCTACCACATGTGGCACAACATCTTTGGTGCGTTCTCCAAAGGACAACCAATAACTGACTAAACTCTACTTTTCTTTCTCTGGCTTAATTATTATTATTATTATTATTATTATTATTATTATATAGGTGTGTGTGTGTGTTTGTGTGTGTGTGTAATTGAAAAGGGGTAAAAAGTGTGGTAGTTTATACCATTGTGGGATGGTTTTGAACAACTTTAGCCAATAATTAACTGCTTTTATTCATCAAATGACCTTAGTGAGTGCCTTCCAAGATTTCCTCTGGCTGCAATATTAAAGGCTTTTTTTTCACGGTTTAACTTTTTTTGTACATTTAATACCTTGTTGGCGATGTATCTAACAGTTCAAAACTTCCACGTCCAGACATTTCAGCTACCTTCTCCAGTGCTGTTTTGATAAAAAAAAAAAACGTCGAGTGAAAATCCTAGGCGGTTCCTTATTCAGAATCAACACATTCTGCATTAGTCTGTGGGAGAGACGCCTGTTCCCATTTGGCAAAAGATAATGAACGAGGTCAATTATTAAACTTGCAAAGTAAAACTAGGTCAAGTATGATTGAAGATCAAATCTTTGTACGTTTCTTTGTGCACGTGTGTTTTAATCAAAAGTATATTTTACTACACCTTATTAAATATGTATAAAGAAGGGACAGTATTCAACTACAATTATAGTAAAACGGTCAAATGTGGCAATTGATTGGATTCTAGGCGTTTCCATTTTGAAAGACAAGTTCATGTCATGGCCGATAATTTTGCTCATAAGTACTTCATATCAGATGGAAATTGTATTGTTTATACCTTGTTGAGTGGATTTAATCAACTTGAGTCAATTATTAACTGCATTTTTTTACCTTAATGACCCTTTTTTTTACCTTAGTGAGTGTCTTCCAAGATTCCCTCTGGTTGCAATATTAAATTCATCTTTTTTGCGCTTTAACATTTTTTGCAAACACATTATACACTGCTTCTACCAATACGTCTTGACTTTGGTGCATGCCACTCATTTCTACACCATGATTAAAAATACATGTAGGTAAAAGCATCTTATAAAACAGTGTGAGACACACACATTAACGTCAATTTCACCAAACTTAAACATCTGATTCTTTAACATCAGCAGTGTTTTTATGG